TCTGTTGCATTTGGTGGCCAGTACCTCCTGCCGATTGCAAGCAATTCAACTGAGTGGGGCCATCCCGCAACTGTGTGCAATGAATGTAGTTGATGCATGGTGGTGCAAGATTTAGGGAGTTAAAACGAGTGATGAGGAGGTGACATAATGCCTCTTCACCATCTGTCAGATGCCAACAAGGTTGCTGCATGGTGGTGCAGGGTTTAGAGGGTTAGAGCAGGTGGTGAGCAGGCAGCAGAACACCTCACCGTCTGTCAGCTGCCAATGAGGATCGCTCTTCAGAGGGAAACACAAGTGTAAACAAGCCCTTTAATAATTCAAAGGGATTATTTTCCATGGGCCCAGCTCATACTAACGCACTGCATCGATGTACGCTGGATGAAAATGGAAAATGCTTGATTTAAAAGCAGCACAACCTTGCTACAACACATCTCAGCAGGCCGCAGCACACGTTAAGAAATATAAAATAAAGTACACTGTTCAAAAACATGAAAGGAACGCTCTGAAAACACATCAGATCTCAATGGGGAACAATCTCCTGCTGGATCTCTATACTGATATAGACTGGGTAATGTGTTAGGAATGTAAGGATGCCCCATCGTTTGATGCAAAGGAAAGTTATCAGCCTACAGAGGACTGATAACTTTACAGAGAATTCAAAGACACCCCGAAAATCAAAGTGAAAAAATGATGCAGCAGTCTAGTCCATTTTGCTGAGATTTCATTGCAGCAACTCAAAATGGTCCTCAGTAGTTTGTATGGCCCCCACCTGCTTGTATGCATGCCTGATAATGTCGGCGGAGGCTCCTAATGAGACGACGGATGGTCCTGGGGTATTTCCTCCCAGATCTGGACCAGGGCCTCACTGAGCTCCTGGACAGTCTGAGGTGCACCTTGGCGGCGTCGGGTGGACAGAAACATGATATCCCAGAGGTGTTCTATTGGATTTAGGTCAGGTTAGCGTGTGGGATATTCAATTGGTATCAATTCCTTCATCCTCCAGGAACTGCCTGTATACTCTCACCATATGAGGCCGGGCATTGTCATGCACCAGGAGGAACCCAGGACCCACTGCACCAGTGTAGGGTCTCAGAATGGCTCCAAGGATTTAATCCTGAAACCTAATGGCAGTCAGGGTGCCATTGTGTAGCCTGTAGAGGTCTGTGCGTCCCTCCATGGATTTGCCTCCCCAGACCATCACTGACCCACCACCAAAAGGGTCATGCTGAACAATGTTACAGGCAGCATAACGTTCTCCATGCCTTCTCCAGACCCTTTCACGTCTGTCACATGTGCTCAGGGTGAACATGCTCTCATCTGTGAAAAGCACAGGGCGCTAGTGGTGGACCTGCCAATTCTGGTGTTCAATGGCAAATGCCAATCGAGCTCTATGGTGCCAGGCAGTGAGCACAGGGCCCACTAGAGGATGTCGGGCCCTCAGGCCACCCTCATGAAGGCTGTTTCTATTTGTTTGGTCAGAGACATTCACACCAGTGGCCTGCTGGAGGTCATTTTGTAGGGCTCTGGCAGTGCTCATCTTGTTCCTCCTTGCACAAAGGAGGGGATAGCATCCCTGTTGATGGGTTAAGGACCTTCTACGGCCCTGTCCAGCTCTCCTAGAGTAATTGCCTGTCTCCTGGAATCTCCTCCATGCTCTTGAGACTGTGCTGGGAGACACAGTAAACCTTCTGGCAATGGAGTGATGTGCCATCCTAGAGGAGTTGGACTTCCTGTGCAACCTCTGTAGGGTCCAGGTATGGCCTCATGCTACCAGTAGTGACACTGACCCTAGCCAAATGCAAAACTAGTGAAAAACAGTCAGAAAAGATGAGTCGGGAAAAAAATGTCAGTGGCGTCCTCCTGTAAAACCATTACTGTTTTGGGGGTCGTCTCATTATTGCACCAGTTAATTTCAATAACACCAAAAGCAGCTGAAACTAATTAACAACCCCCTCTGCTACTAAACTGACCAGATCAATATGCCAGGAGTTTCATTGACTTGATGCTAGACTAATAAAAAGTGTTCCTTTATTTTTTTGAGCAGTGTAAGCAAAGTCACATGGTGTGAATCTAGCCTCAGTAATGACTCTGGACCAGGGGCAAACTGACAACTCATGGGGCCCCCTAGCAATAGGGGATCATGGGGCCCCTGTGTCCTTGCCCAAACTCAAAAAAGCCTATGAAAAAAGTACCAGGGGCATCTCATGGGGCCCCCTACTGACCCTGGGCCCTCGGGCAATGCCCGAGTTTCCAAATGGTCAGTCCGCCCCTGCTCTGGACAGCCACCATCAAACCAAGACAATCAGCAATCTGCAAATGTTTGATTGGCCTGACTATGCAGCTTGGGAATCCAGTGAAAAATGATACGGGTCTCTGCCAATTGCAGAAATCTACACTCAAGAACCAAAAGAACAAGGATTCCCTGAACTGCCTGCTTTGTAAAAATGATTCACTCAAGTCTGCAAGTCATTATTATATCTCAACATTGATCATTGAGGGAGTCAAGGAAGAGCAGGCATGATAATCAGTATGGAAAGTGAGCCAATAAGAAAGCTTCTTGTTGCCCATAGCAACCGGCCTATAGCCGTCAGTCCTGCAGAGCAGAGTGGAAGCTGGAATACAGTTTCTGATGGGTTGCTATGGGCGACAAGCCACATTAGCACACTTTTCCCAGATACAAGCTCATCTGTCATCAAACTGGCAGAGAGGCCGACTGCGGTAGAGGGAAGCCTGCCTTGGCTGAGATACCAGCACTAGCAGAGTGATCAGAAGGCCTACAAGGCAACTTCAAATCACCATGGAAACTGATATCCTCAAAAATCATAGAAAAAGACAAAGAACTTCAAATCTGTTTTATTAAATGAAGCAAAAAAAAAAAAAAAAATAGATAGTTTTTGGATAGCCAATTCCTGATAAAGCTTTTACTGAGCAAACCTAACCAGGGCCACCGATAACCAGGACGTGCCCCAGCTACAAGGCAATAAAGGTGTTCATACTACGGACCGCATACAGCATGCCAATGTTTTACCAATAGATCAATAAATGAAAGAAGATCGCAGGTCTGCAAACAGTTGGTGAACACATATACTCATCACTGACCACTGAGGGAAACGAGGCAACAAATACACACAAGGCAATCTTTTTGTTGATCTAATAATCACATTTGTTTTGTGAAGTCTGCTGGACAGACAGTGAGATTTTTTTTTTTTACAATTCAGCCCAGATTGAATGCAGCAAGCAGATGGTATTGTGTTGGCACCTTTACACATAAAAAAAATTAAAAAGATTTATATGAATTGTGATGATCATGTGCAGGAAACATCTACAAGGATTAGTACCTTTATACATTAAACAAATAAATATTAAAATTAATAAAAAAATAAAGATTTATGATAATAAAGGTTATGCATAAGCATAAAAACATGCACTTAAAAAGTGTATATGATGATAATGTATTATTTAAAAAAAAAAATATTATTTAGATTTCATATTTATGCATAATCTTTATCATCTTAATCTTATACATCTTTATTAATTGGTTTATTAACGATCACAGTGCCAATACATGTAGAGGTTACCTACACAATCTTTATCATCAGATACATTTTTTTTTTTTTATAATGAACGTGCCAACCCAAGTAGATGTTTATATTTCTGTGGTGTAATTTGTATCAGTTGGCACCCTCATACATTAAAAAAAGGAAGTATAGGATTATGATGATAAAGATTATGTGTAAAACATCTACACTTGTTGAACTCTCATACATAGCAAACAATAAATAAATAAAAATAATGATGATAGGCATAGGAATATAACGTCTACATGCACCTCATACATAAAAAAAAAGATGAAAAAGGTGTATATGATGGAGGATAACAATTATGCATAAGAGTATAATCATCTACATCATGATAATCAAATCCATCTTTTTAAAAATATTAATGGGTACCAACATATGTAGATGTTTCCATCAAGTAATCTTTATAGTCATAATTCTATACATTTTTTTAAATATGTGAGGGTACCAACACATGTAGATGTTTAGATGCCTATTATTTTTTATAATGATGATGAATATGTATAGGATTATGTGTAGGCAACAACTATATCTATTGGCATCCTCATTTTCTTAAAAATATATATATGTGGTTATGATAAATATTCTGAATTAGCAACAATGTATCATTCTGTGATCTGCCAGTACTGCAGATGAGCTGGTGTCACTGATCATCAGCATTGTACAATTCAATTCATCCTCGGTGGGTGATCACAGTGACCAGTCCTCAGTGGGTGATCACAGCGACCCAGTCGCAGCGGGTGATCACAGTGACCCATCCTCAGTGGGTGATCACAGCAACCCATCCTCAGTGGGTGATCACAGCGTCCCATCCTCAGTGGGTGATCACAGCGCCCCATCCTCAGTGGGTGATCACAGCGCCCCATCCTCAGTGGGTGATCACAGCGCCCCATCCTCAGTGGGTGATCACAGCGCCCCATCCTCAATGGGTGATCACAGCGCCCCATCCTCAGTGGGTGATCACAGCGCCCCATCCTCAGTGGGTGATCACAGCGCCCCATCCTCAGTGGGTGTTCACAGCGCCCCATCCTCAGTGGGTGATCACAGCGCCCCATCCTCAGTGGGTGATCACAGCGCCCCATCCTCAGTGGGTGATCACAGCGACCCATCCTCAATGGGTGACCACAGCGACCCATCCTCAATGGGTGACCACAGCGACCCATCCTCAATGGGTGATCACAGCGCCCCATCCTCAATGGGTGATCACAGCGCCCCATCCTCAGTGGGTGATCACAGTGACCATTCCTCAGTGGGTGATCACAGTGACCGATCCCCAATGGGTGATCACAGCACCCCATCCTCAGTGGGTGATCACAGCGCCCCATCCTCAGTGGGTGATCACAGTGACCGATCCCCAATGGGTGATCACAGTGACCCATTCTTAGTTGGGTGCATGCTAGGTGCTAGGGTCACACTACTCACCCAGACTCCTGTCCATGGTCATCCTCATCCTCAGTGCCCTCTTCTCCTGCTCCGCCTCTCACCGCTGACCAGGTCCATTTTGCCCACTGGACGGGTGACAACATCTGCCAGGGACTGAATGCCATGGTGCTTCAGTCTGATGGGTGCTGGTGATCCTTAGGACTCCTCTGTAGGGTGCTGGTTGGTGTTCAGTGCTGGGGATAGCACATGACAGCCCTGGGATGGGATCTTCCAGTGTATCCTCCCTCCCCAGACACAGCAGATCCAGCAGAGGAGGAGGATGGATGGTGGATGGATGGATGCCTGTGCTTACACTGGCTGTATCTGGGAATCAGCTGTCTGTGCTGTCTTTGCTCTCCTCCCCCTACAGACTGTACTACTAGAGCAGGGAGGCACCCATCCACACACTGATCTGCTGCAGGTTCCATCCCTGACACCCATCCCTGACACCCATCCCATACTACAGCCATCTACAAGCCTCCTATATGTCAGATCATATAGAATCCTGGTACTGATCCCCAGCACTGACTTCATAGCCTGCCACAGACTGCACTGACATCACCCAGCTGTTCCTATGACAGCACAGTATCATTGACAGTAAAGACTTCAAACTCTTACAAAAGTTTATTTTTTATGAAATAAAAATAAAAACAAGAAAGTTTCCAGCACCCCCCTCTCTGGTTTGTACTAATGGAGCCCAGAGAGGGTAGCCGGCAGCCTGCTCTGCAGTCTTTGTGACTATGCAGCATCAAGGATCCCCCTCTGGTGGAATGGTTCAGTCCCAGATTGAAGGGGAATTATGAGAGCAGAGAGAAGTCAGAGAGCAGTGTGAGGGGTGCAGAGTGCACAGCTGTCCAGGGTGATCTGGGCACAGAGAGAGCAGGACACCCAGCTGACACCTTCCCATTGTACTCCTATGATGGGATCAGCGTCCAGCCTTCACAGGCCTGGATCCATTGTTTGGGGATCACAATGGAAGGGACTAGTTAGGCGGGAAAGGTGGACGTGTGCAGGGCCAGAAGCAGCCTCTTCCAGCTTCAATACAGACAATGGACAAAATCTCTGCTGTTACCCTAGGTTCACACCGAAGCGTTTTCCAGAAACGCAGCACAGACCATTTAACATGATTTCCAATGGGACAGATTCACATCTCTGCGTTTTCACCCGCTGTGTTTTTTTGGAAAGGGGCAAAGACTTTTTTGAACACAAAAAGTTGCGTTTTTGTTTCTATAGACTTCAATAGAAAAGCTGCATGTATTGCGTTTTTGCTGCGTTTGTAATGTGTTTTGCGTTTTCAATCTGCCTAGCAACAAGAAAAATAAAAAATGCAAATTGCAGTAAAAATGCGTAAAAAACGCAATGCATAAATGGCTCAAATGCAAACTGCACAGGTGTGAACCTAGCCTGAAAAAAATTGACGCGAATGGCCGTTTGCTGCGTTCAGAGACCGCTAAACGCCACCTCTGGAAGCAGAAACTCTCTGTGCTATGGCCGCATACAAACTGACCAATCAGCTGCCAAAGCTGCAGAAACACCAACCCAGGACACACACCATGTCAACGGTCAGTCAGAGGATCTATTTGCAAGCAGCCAATCAAATGAGCGGTTGTATGCGCACAGCGGCAGCACACACGACACAAACAGTGTGTGCAGGCAATGTTTAGAACCACTAAATCTACCAATGTCAATGTAATGCCTAACCCACACTGGCCAAGAAGCTGAACTCTCTTTCTTTTTAAATATATTCCTTAATGGCCAAAGAGGAGTCTACTTTTGTGCTCCTAATGCCTTTGCAAACCCAGTTATTACCTTGTAAAAGCAACAGTGCCATCAACACTGTGGTTTACATAGGCTGTGCAGAGAGCATAGCTGTGGGAGGGACCCAGCAGGCCCCACCCACTACAGAAAACTATAGGAGGGGGTGGAGACAAGACCAGTCACCCTGCACAAATAGAGAGCAGTAGTGACTTGTCTTTATTACAGGAATCTCCTGCGCAAAGAGAAAGTCTCACACCGGATTACTGCATAGATCTGGAAGAAATACTGAAAGCACACCGAGATTCAAGGAAGAATTCACATACCAAATGTATTTAGACAATATTTGTGTTCATCTGTAAAAAGTTTTAAAAGTTTTTATATTCATAAACATCCAGGGTGATCCTACCATAAAGATCATTGGTTAGGAATTTCCTGTTATGGGCCGACAACTATCTTCCATTTCTCTTGTATTTGTAGCACTACCCCTATAGGAGTTGCTGAAGAGTTGGGTCCCCCTATAGTCCTGCACAGCCAAGCAACAAGCATTTTCCACAGATTTACATTCTGTAGACAGTAAATAGTCCTTGAGCTCGGCTTTTATGTTTTATTAAGGGTGGTGGACTTGGATAGGGTAAGGGTGTATGATATGCCCAAGGAACAGTAAACTGAAGTCCACAATAGGAAATTCTCTTCTAGGAGAGCTCTCCAGCCTCTCTTGGTGTACCACCCCAGACCCCAGATAAATCATCTTCTTTACCCAGCTATCTGGAGGAATCCCTGAGCAAGGAGATCCAGTGGCTGACTCTTGAAAGAGTTAACAGTTCCAGGTATGGAGCTAGTCAGGTTTCCCACCAGAATGCTCTTCCCCCTTAACAGGCCCAGGGAGTGTAGGATTACTCAGTCAGTCCTTGCCTGTGAGCTGGTTGGGTTGGTGGCTGCCTTCAGGCCTTCTGCTGGGCTGGCTCCTCCCCAGGTTCCACGGGTGGTCCTCCATCCAGGGACTGGTGAGACTGAGTGATCCTTCTTTCCAGGTCCTGGCCTTTAGGTAGACCCCATTACACTGGGCCCCCTTTCAGGCTCCTGCATCTCAGCCTTCCTCACATCTTCCACCTGAACTCTCCTGCTGTTGAGCAGGCTCAGCCACACTTAAAGGCTACCCTAGCCCAATGCCAAGCCTCCTACTTGGGGTTGGCCAAAGTCCCTTGAGTGTGTCAGCTCCTCCTCACCCCCTCCCACTGCTTCTAGAATCTTCTCCAAGATTCTAGAGCAGGGGGAGGTATCCAGGAACTGATCTGCAAAGCCTCTCAGCCCTGACCCAAATTTGACCCCGCTGACTATTTCCCCAGGCTGCTGCTCAGCCCTTCTAACTAATAATTAATAATTATCCCCCTCAGCTATGTAAAGGGATACTACATTTTATTAAGCTGTCACATTACGTATGCTTGGTCCACTGTTGTTACTATTAGGAAGTCTGCCCAGATTAAAGTCCAACTGCAAGAAACAGTAAAATTATCCCTTGCAGTAGGGGGGAGCCAGCAATTCAAGGGATACCTGCTTGTTTTATCTACTGCGGTGTGCTGCGGGGATGCTTCCAGGTCTGTGTAACTGATGTCTGCAATGGAAAGGTGAATCTGACCAGCACGCTCACTACACAGGTCGTGGTGTCCACTGAGCACTGCCACAGCTCAACAACTGAAACACCCACAAATCGGGCTTCAATTAGGGGAGAAGCGTAGAACAGGGAGGACAGGGAGCAAAGGAGAGCTTTTTTTTATAAAACACTAGCAGATCATTGGAGAGGCTGGGAGAGGTTAAAACTGACTGGTATTTTGTTTTTTCAACATCATGAGAGTCCTTTAAATGCCACACTCTAGCCAAAGTCACTCATTGATCTGGGACAGCCGGGGGGGGGGGGGGGGGGGGGGGGGGTTGCAATTCCCTGATCTTTTACCCCATTGCCATCACTCTGCTATAAAAATGTTTTAGTTGCAGTCTGTGTCCCTATTGGGGAGATTTCCCTTTATTTATTTATTTTATTTCAGGTACTTATATAGTGCCGTCAATTTACGCAGTGCTTTACACATATATTGTACATTCACATCAGTCCCTAACCCTCAAGTGGTGTACAGTCTAAGGTCTACTTATATTTGGTTCTCCCACACTCCTCCTTGATCATCAACATTATTATTACACAGTATTTATATAGCGCTAAAAGATTTGCTCAGCGCTGTACATTATAGTGGGGGACAGAACATGAGACAATACAGTAACAAAACAATACACGAGGGGTTCGGGGGCCCTGCTCTTTCGAGCTTACAATCTAGGAGGGAGGGGATAGTGGTACAGGAGGAAGTGGCTGTGGGGGATGGAGTGGTGGGAGAAGAGGAGGAGATTGACTGTTAGGTGAGGGCGGGGTAGGCTTCCCTGAAGAGATGGGTTTTCAGAGTGCGCCTAAAGGTGAGGAGGGTAGGTGGCAGTCTGATGGATTGGGGTAGTGAGTTCCAGAGGATGGGGGAAGTCCTGGTGAAGTCCTGCAGTCGGGCGTGGGAGGTGGAGACCAGGGAGCTAGAAAGTAGGAGGTCTTGTGAGGAGTGAAGAGTACGGGTTGGGTGGTATTTGAGTATCAGGTCGGTGAGGTAGTTTGGGGCAGTGTTATGAATGGCTTTGTACGTCAATGTTAGTAGTTTGAATTTAATGCGTTGGGCAATCTGGAGCCAGTGGAGGGAATGACAGAGGGGGGTGGCAGAAGCGGAGCGGTTGGTGAGGTGGATGAGTCTGGCCGCTGAGTTCAGGATAGACTGAAGTGGGGACAGTCTGTGATGAGGTAGGCCGGTGAGAAGGGAGTTGCAGTAGTCCAGACGTGAGATAATAAGGGAGTGAATGAGTTGTTTAGTAGTGTCTGGGGTTAGGAACGGACGTATCTTGGAGATGTTGCGGAGGTGGAGCCTGCATGAGTTTGCCAACGATTGGACATGGGGTTGGAAGGACAGGTTTGAGTCTAGAGCAGGGGTGGGCAAACTTTTTGACTTGAGGGCCGCAATGGGTTCATATATTGGACCCGGGGGCCGGACCAAGAGTAGATGAATGATGTGTATGTGTCATCCATAGTAAGTATAGTAATATTCCCCCATAGTAAGCATAGTAATTAATCCCCCATATAGTAATTCATCCCCCATAGTAATTCATCCCCCATATAGTAATTTATCCCCCATAGTAATTCATCCCCCATAGTAATTCATCCCCCATAGTAATTCATCCCCCATATAGTAAATTCATCCCCCATAGTAATTCATCCCCCATAGTAATTCATCCCCCATATAGTAATTCATCCCCCATAGTAATTCATCCCCCATATAGTAATTCATCC